TTGCTTGTCTTGAGTCTTGAATTTGGTGTTTTTCAGGACTGGTAGCCAAACCTTGTTTACTTTCATTGTTTTTTTCTTTTCTAATGAAGTTGTTCAGGTGTTTGTGGATTTCAATGGACTCCCTGTGCATTCTGACCCAGTAGTTGTTGGCATGGTCCATAACTTCAACGTTTTCAAATAGTATCCTGTGCCCTGTTTGGCTTCTAACATGTTCTGCTACTGCTTTTAACTGTTTCCTTTAACTGAATGGCTGCAATTAGGGGGTTCACATACTTTTGCCCTCATTGTTTGCTTAATTTATGCATTACTTTATTTCACAAGATGTGGAATTTGTTATTATAAATCCTATTGGATATTTAGAAAAGGATTTGATTCGCAAAGGCTATTATAGTAAAACTATGGAATTTCTGTAATTATCATTAAGGTATGCAAAGACAATCTGATACTGGGACAGGATCTTTTTCAGTGTTGCACTTACAGGCATGCCACAATGTTTCAGTCACTGAATTTAGGAGGCAGATTTCCTGATATGGAAAATGAAAGGGCCAATAGCCTGTTCACACATGATGACCACAATGACATGAGCGTGAGATCTGTGTGGCTATACACATAGCTGGATACTGGATTGAGAGTATTTTTACTGTGAAAAAGTGGTATACAAATTTGATGGAGAAAACAAAGACAAGTGATAAAGGTAAATAAAAGTTGTAGATGGGCTAGGGAGAAAATACATAGATCAGCGAGTCTAGAGGTGATTTTGAAAATATTCTTCTGTTCAGAAAGTTGTCAGATTATGGGTGATTATGTGGGCCAGAACCAAAGTTATGCTTGAAAAACTGCATTACTATAGCCTTTTATTCCATATCAAATAGAGAGCAACCATCTTGTATTTATTTTGCTGATTACTGTGTTTGGAGTCTACTGTGTCCATTTGGCAGGAAGGGGTATGCAAAATCTTTCAAGCAAACCTGAATAAGTACCTATTTGACATTTCAGTTGTGGATTGATGATAATAAGCCCCTTATATATAATAAGTCAGCCTTACTCTCCAATTATGTACAGTTGATCTCACTATTTGTTTGATTAGCATGATTAATTATTTTAGTGACTTTGCATGATTGGTGCTATAAATTCCTTTGTAGTCTATTTCTAGTATAGATAGGACTGTGGTAGTAAAATTTTGAAGCTTGCAGCCAGATGGATTAAAGTGTTGCTAAGGAAACAGACTTGGAAATGAAGTGGCAGCAGAATGTCCACAGAACATCATGCTGTTTGTAACTGGTATTATTTTATTCTATGTAGACAGATAAAACAGAAGGATGAAAAATGTAATTTTCTGACTCTTTGACTTGTACCTTGCTAAGTTTCACTAACATATGGCAAAGAGCTTTATGCTCTTTGCTTTCATTACAAGATTGAAAATGGCATGAGAAACTGAAGGAAAGTATTCAAATGTTTTGTGTGTACACATGCATGCACATGCATACACACACACATATGATTTTTTTTTTT